GGCCAAGCCTGGGCGATCGCCTCCGTCCTCCCCTCTCATCACTCTACCCTCCCAACATCCCCCAGGCACCCCCGGCAGGGAGGCCCAGCCGACCGGGCGACAGGGAGCGATCCGCTCCGCGTGGATTCGTACCCACTCCCAAGAGAGTGGGACGACCAGGCGGGCGGGTGTTGGTGAATAGCCCCCCTTGCTAGCATCCAGCGCGGACGGACCGAACCAGTCTGCATAGCCGCAGACCAGGGGCCGCCCACGCGAGCAGTCGCCCGGAAGAATGGGCCACCCCACCGGGCGCCCCGCAGAGGCGCCTATCCCATCATCTCCGAGCGTGCACGGACCTCGCCTCGGTCAAGACCGAGCGGTCCCGTGAACTCCCCCACAGCCTTCGGGCACCACTCCGCCCGCCTCATGACGGCGCGGGGCGCTGACCTTGGGCCGCGTCTCCACCAGTGACGCCCAGTGTGCAATGGACGATAGTTCATGAAGAATGATCGCCCACTGGAGCAAACCTGGTGGTGAATGCCTGGGTGCAATGGGGTTAGTGCCCCACCAGGCATTCGCTTTCCTTGGTGGCATGGGCTCGATGTCCTAAGACAGAGCCCGCCTGCAGCGATGATGCTGCGTCGTCGCTGCAGTCCCCGGTACCGCGAGGGAACCACCCCATCCCCCAAGGGGGAAGGGGAGGGCCCCACGCGGGCCCGGGGGCCGTGGTGGACGTCTACCACTCCGCATTCGGAGGGGAGCAGTCCCGCCTCTAACGGTGCCGAATCACCGGGATTTGAAGTCAGAGTTACCTTCTCCTACCGGCGTAGTGATTCCCCATCCTGCAAAGGATGGTTCCTCCAGACCTTCCACACTCCGAGGGGTGTGGGAGGCCCTTGGGACGCCGGACCCTAGCGTACAGAGTCCCTCTATTTAACGAGGGACTCCGTACTGTGGAGTATTAGCACCCGGGACTCTCATAAAGAGCCCCGGGTGAGCCTCCGTGCCACGACAAGGCTCTCCACGCACGGGGGAATGTAACTTAACCCAACCCTATAAGTGTAACGGTTGCGATTATGAGAAATGGCCTAAAAATATGAGATATGATACTTTGTTAAAATTATGCATTTCCGGCATAAAATATTTCAATTATTAGGCCAACTGACACTTGGCAAGTTTATTTAGGACACACTGTGTTAGATTAACAGATGTCCTGAAATTTATCACATTATATATTGTGTATACTTCCAGGAAGGTTTATGGGAGACCTGGAACTTATTGAATGACGTAATTGACGTAATAAAATTCCAGGACTGTCCTTAGGAAAACATTTTACGACATAAAAAAATTCCAGGCCTGACCCCAAAGTTACCAAAAGTCCTGGAAGTAACTAGTAGACATCTGAAATGGTCCTGGAACAAACCAAACGACATATATAAATAAATATACATATACATATACATATATATATATATATACATATAAA